AACTCTTTCTTCCAAATTTTTGCCTATTTTTAATTGGGGTATTTGCCTTTTTATTGTTGAGTTGTGAGAGCTCTATGTTGTAAATACAAGTTCCTGATCAGAGCTACGATTTGCAAATATTTTCTCCCATTCTGTGAGCTTTTTCACTTTCTTAACAGTGTCCCTTGTAACACAAAAGTTTTCAATTGTATTAAGTCCAATATATTTATTTTTCCTTTTGTTGCTTTGGTGTACATCCAAGAAGCCACTGCCTGAGTCAGCGTCACAAAGATTTACTCCTCTGTTTTCTTCTAAGAGTCTATGTTTAGCTCTTATTAAGTGATGATGCATTTTGAGTGATTTTTTTATATGTGGCATGAGCTAGGAGTCCAAAAGCATTCTTTCATGTGTTGATGCAGACATTACATTTTAATTCTATTTCTTATTAACTTGTTCTGTGATATTGTACCTCCGTTTTCCATAAATCGCCTTTTAGATGGCTTTCTGTATACGGCCAGCCGAGAGTGATAAAAAACCAAACCGTGAGGGAGAAATATTTTAAATCAGGAAGTGATCGGCTCTTCCCTCATTGCCCGTAATCTGTGATTCATTTCCCCAATTTTAGACTTTTTTTTCCCTTTTCTTATAATAGTCCACCATGCAATCTAGCCCTTGGCTGACTACTCAGTCGTAACTGTGCAAATGAGGTTCTGCCCAAAACCTCAGGTATTCAATTCACAAATCAACGTACGAACACTTTGGGCAGCGACGACGTGGCCATCAGTCCCGAACGATCAGAAGTGAAGAGACACCTGCCACCCTCAGGCCACTACAGTCAGACCGGAAGGAGTGGCAGGCGCACAAGTAACAGCAGAGTGAGGACGGTCACGGGAGGGGGAGAGGGACTGAAGGGAGGGGACCAGAGCGATGGCTTAGAACGGGGCCCAGGCAGGGGCGGCCAGTGTCTGGTGCGAGCCAGCTGCGGACGCTGTCGAGCTGGAGACCAGCAGGTGGTCCCCACGTGCCCCCCAGACCATCATGTCCCCACAGACAGGTGGACCCAGGAGTGAGACTTCTCATTTTTTTCAAGAGAAGTTGGGGGGGAAAAATCTAAATTCTATGTGTAATCCCTCATTTTTAAAAATGGTCAAGTAATTTGAGTTTTAAGATTCTATAGTGGATTCCTCAAAAAGCTAAACATATAGTTACCATGTGACCCAGCAAATCCACTCCAAGGCATGGACCCAAAAAAACCAAAAACAGGGACTTCAACAGACACTCGTACGTCGATGTTCATAGCGGCATCACTCACAGTAGCCAAAAGCAGGGAGCAAGCCAAGTGTCCGCCAACAGATGAGCGGACAGACGAGATGCGGTCCGGCCACGCCATGCGTGTTACTGAGCCACACACAGGAATGAAGTATTAGTACTGGTCCTGGCGTGGACGAACCTTGGAAACATTATGCTAAGTGAAACAAACCAGACACAAAAACACAAGTACTATCTAATTCCACCTGTGTCAAATATCCGTAAGAGGCAAATTCATCGAAAGCAGACGAGAGGCCACCGCGGGCCGGGGGCTACTGCTTCCTGGTCCTGGAGTTTCCGTTTGGGGTGATGAAACGTTTTCCAAAATAGAAAGTGGTGACGGTTGTACAACATTGTGAATAGAATCAATGCCACTGAAATTGTACACTTAAAATGGGGCCCTGGCTGGTGTAGCTCAGTGGATTGAGCGCAGGCCTGCGAACCAAAGGATCATGGTTCAATTCCCAGTCAGGGCACATGCCTGGGTTGCAGGCCTGTTCCCAGCAGGGGATGCATGAGAGGCAACCATCCATTGATATTTCTCTCCCTCTCTCCTTCCCTTCCCCTCTAAAGAGAAATAAAATCTTTTAAAAAACTATTTTATTTATTCATTTTTAGAGAGGACAGAGAGAGAGACATTGATGTGTAGTTGCCTTTCCTGGTCCCTCCACTGGGGACCTGGCCCACACCCCAGACATGTGCCCTGACTGGGAATCAAACTGGCGACCCTTTGGTTCGCAGGCCCGCACTCATCCACTGAGCTACACCAGCCAGGGCAAATAAATAAAATCTTTGAAAAATGAGTTAAAAAAAAACAAACGATGTGGAGGGTGTATGTTAGTATGGAGTCCGGTTCGGCTGGAGAAAACTCCAGGTGGGGAGGTGGCTGGAAGGGAAGGGGCGCCAGGGCCAGGTGCCGTGTTGCCGGTTCAAGAATTCCCCACTTACTTTGAACAGAAGGATGAAGCCCCCCAAGCTGTCCCTGAGACCGGTTAGCATCGGCGTACAGAGGGACTGGGAAGAGGAGACAGAGGCGCCTGCGCAGCTTGGTGAGAGTTGAGGACGGCCTGGGCCTGGTCAGTGGCCATGGGACGGGGACGATGGGAGCAGGGGACAGAAAGGGGCTCATTGGAGAAGTAACAGCTGGACACTGACCGCTGGCAGGGGGACAGGGAGTGTCAGGTGGGGCAGAGGTGGGGGCTACGTTTTTTAGGAGGACATCGATTTTCCATTCATTTAGCGATGAAGAAAGAGGGTTGTATGTTGAGCGGACAGGCTTCTTTGGCATCATTTTGATTTCAGTTTTTGTCTGTTTTTTTTTTAGGTTAGGAGCAACCGAAGGAGTAGAATCAGCGGCATGGGGGAGACTGGCAATCCGAGAGAGGAAGACACAGAGGGAGCAGCGTGGGGAGACCTGCCAAAGGGTCGGGGTGACGTGGGCAGAAGGGAAGGGAAGAAGGGTGGGGCAAGAGACAGTTTGTTAGTGGAGCAGAAGAAAGATGGCTTCATACTTAAGACAAGAAATGTTAGGGGGTGGAGGGACTGAGCAAAAAGGCAAAAGGACTCATGGACATGGACGACAGTGCGGGGATTGTGGGGTGCAGGGAGGTATAAGGGGACTAAATGGTAATGAAAAAAATGTAATAAATATTTTTTAAAAAGAAAGAAAAAATGGGGGCACTACTTCAAGAGAGGGGGCCGGGAGTGCCAGCTGGCTGAACAAGGGCCCGTCGGCTGCAGAAGGGCGCAGGGGGGGCCGACAGAGCAAGAACGAAAGGCAGAGGCTGGCGCACAGACACAGCGCCCACCGCCTGGGGCCCGGCCGTGGTGCCCAGCACTGGAACGGGGAGAGTGCAAACCCTGCTGGTGGACACGGTAGTTTCTAAGTGTGCTTAGGGTTAGTGTTATAAAACCCAGGGAGTGCGGCCTTCCTGGATGGTAGAAGGCACATCTTTGGAAGGGCCAACCATGGGGCTCTCTGAGCTTTGCAGGGAAATGAGAGAAGGCAGACTTGGAGCCACTGGAAGGATGAGAGACGTGAGGCCGAGAGGTCATTCCGAGTGGGAGTGGGAGGAACGGAGGGAGGGAGGCGGGTGTGGAAAATACGTGTAACTCCTTAGGCCAAGTGGGGTGAGGTGGTGGCGCTAGTGTTCACGTCAGGAAGGACTTTGCAGCCTGTGTCCAGGCTCAGTTGGACCAAGTGCCCTGTGACATCTGTCACAGGCAAAGGACAGGAGGGGAGAGCCGTGGCCACAGCCCGTCAACCCTATGAGATGCGGAGAGATTTCGGGCTGAAAAGACTGGAGGAGCCGCGGTCCCACACACCGTGCAGTCCAGGCAGCCTGACCGCCCTCGCAGAGGACCGGCGTGTCCCATACCCGCTGGCTCCGTGGTGAAGGACGGCCGGAAAAGGAGCAGGGCGGGATGTCTAGATGGTCAGTAACGGGAGCACCCAGGGCTTTGGCAGTGGTGGCAGTGGAGAGGGTGGGACCCCGTCACTCCAGGAAGAGGGCAAGCTGCCTTGGAGTCAGTGGATGGAGGGGACGCCACAGGTGGTGTCATCAGAATCCAGGACCAGGAGGAGAAGAGGGTGTGGGAGCGTGGTGACAGGTGCCAGTCTATTTCCAACACTGAACTCTAAGCCTCGGGGGCAGGACGTCAGTGTCCTCTGTGTATCTGCAGACCTGGCAGAGCCCAGAGCATAGCAGGGGCTCAGGAATTAGGTCTGGGGCGAAGGGGAGCGCCTCTGGGGAGCAAATATTCCCTCCCCGCCCCCACCCCTGTCGCCCACGAGTGGGGGAACTGAAGGGAAAAGCAGCCGATCTGATGGGAAGTGGCACCGTCAGGAGGAAGTGAGGTGGATGCTGGCAGGACAGGTGTGGGAAGGGGGGGCAGAGAGGGCGGCCTTGAGCGCTGAGGGACCGCAGAGGGGGCCTGCTCCTAGGACCTCGGGTGAAGTCCAGGTGGTAAGCGCACCGCTCTACGGAACAGCGTGCGGGTAACTCGGGGAAACCCATTCCCCCTTCAATAAAACAGCAGAGAGCTCAGGTCCTTCTGGGGGGAGACTGGCCTTATCTAAAAGAGGTTTTCAGAAAAGACAGCCTTGTGAGGGAAATCACACACAGGTCCGGGTCTAATCCCAACTCTGCTAACCACGTCTGTGCCCTTTGGAGTAAATGCTGATTGACTTCATTCACTCACTCATTCATTCATTCGTTCATTCCTGTGCCTCAGTGTCCTCACTTTGCAATGGGCTCGGATCTCTGCCCCACCCACTTTATGAGCTTGCTCTGACGATAAACATGAAAGCTACTCCAAAACATTTCACACGTAAGTTCCCCAGGCGTCCCACTGAAATGAAGTTCGGATAACCATCTCTTGTGCTATAAAATGTTGTGTGACATGTTGGAAATAAGTGGGTCATCCGCTGGGGCTCAGAATGCACTGTGACCCAGGGACGTGGCAGTATTGATCACCGTGGGGACCCCTGTACGAAAGGGAAGCGTGATGCACACCGGCCTCCTTTGTTGCCTGTTTTCATGCAGGGTAGAGACACACACATCCCCAGAACTACGCCTTGTCCAGCTGGTTTTGGAAATAAATGCATCGGGTGCTTTGTCACTAAAGCCGCTGTCCACAGAGCGTGTGTGTGCCGCGAGGCCACAAGGAAGGGGAACTAGGAAACATCTAAAGCAGTAAATTATCACTCTCACCTGGACGGTGCCACGTCGCTCCAGACAAGTCACCGAACCTGACTGTGGCTGCAATCCTGTAACGTGTCCTGGAGGGACGCTGTCGACAGACACACGCGGAGCTGGAAGCAAGGAGCTCCCACGGTGAGAGGAACCGGGACGCGTCTGATTTAGCTCGAGTGGATCCAAGAAAATCAGTGTTGGGAAAGCGGCGAGAGGCGAAAAATGCCTTGTTACCCGAGTAAAGTGGGCCCGGCAGCAAGGGCTGTGAGTGGACGAGAGGAGGAGCCGACGGGAGCATCTCAGGGCGGCCCGTGGCGCGTGACCCATCTTTCTGCGTCATACGGCGTCAGGATGACCTTTAAACCAGTGGTTCCGCTGCAGGTCCTGGGGCATGAGCATGCGGTGACCTCTGGGCTGGGACGCACACTAGGGGGTCGACAATGACAACACGGGGACTCCGCGTTGAGAAAAGTGAGACTCTGCAGTAGGCGACAGGCGAGGGGGAAACTGGTAAAAAAAAAAAACTATCCTGAGAAGGAAAATCCAACAGCTGCGGTTTCTTTTTTTTTTTCTTTTTTACTTCTAAAGATTTTGTTTAGTTATTTTTAAAGAGAGGGGAAAGGAGGGAGGAAGAGAGAGAAACATCCATGTGTGACAGATACATTAACTGGTTGCCTCTCTCACGCACCCCCAACTAGGGCACAAGCCACTGAACCACTCCAGCCAGGACGTGATTTCTTAAATAAATAAATTCTGGCTGAGCAAGGACAGAGAGAAAAATACAACTAGAGGGGAACAAAGAAAGAGAAGAGAAGGCCGGCCAGGTTAAAGAGGTGCAGGATCATCCGATGAGGGACACTGCAGAGACTGACCTGGGAGCACCCCAGCTCAGCGGGGCGAGTGGGCCCCCGATTTAGATAGGTCCCTACAAGTACAGCTCCCTTCCACAGAGCAGGATTCCCTCCCTCTCCAAATGTCCCCAGGGCTTCGAGCAGATGGGCAGGAAGTCCTTCCAGAAGGAACGGACCGGAGTCGACACCCTCTGGCGTGGCCCCCGCTGCACCCGCAGTGGGCCTCGCCTCCGCTGGCAGCTCGCAGGCAGGGGCGGAAGCCGGGGGAGGCCTGACTCACCAGTCCTCCGCCGCGGAGCACGGGTGTGCAGGCCCGCGCGCGATGAGTCACCAGAGCCGCGGATGCTATTCTGAGCTGCCAAGGACACGGACGCTCTTGCTGGCGCCCCAGCAGCCTGCGCCGTTTCTCTCCTTCCTCATCTGGCTGTCAGGAGACTTGGAGCTTTCTTCGCCCGAGGCAGAGCCTAGTAACTCCCTCTATCCTTGCTGCTTCCCGCCTGGGTTCCTGGAAACCAATGAATGGAAACCGAGTTCCGGAAACTGAAACTGAAAGGCGCCCCCTCCCGAGCCCCGTTGAAGTGGCTTCGCTGCAAAGTCGGTTCCAGGGAAGGGTTGGGGGGGGGGTTGGTCTCGCCTTGTGGAATTTCCCAAATGAATCACCTGGACTTTTTATTTTGACTGACAGTCATACCAAGAAGTATGTAAGTTTAAGTTTCAGATTCTACAAGGCAAAATCAGACCGGTACCCAGCGCTCTGCACGGGAGAGTGGCCCCTGGGTTCATCTCTCCATCTGTCCGGCTCCCACGGAGCCCAGGGTGATCCTCGGCCACACCAGCCGTGTGCAGAGTTAAGGGCTGTAGCGGCTCTATCAGCCGGGCACTTCCATGAGAGCGTCTTTGCAACGGCGGCCTACTGCTCGGTGTTGAACGACAGAGGACGCACGAGGGAAAGTCAGGGGGTCCTTCACCCCCTCATGGTCTGTCTCCCAGGCCCTCGGGACGGGCGCTGAGAAAAGCAGCACTCAAGCTTCAGGAAGATGGGTAGTGTGGTCCATTCCAGTGACAAATATTTGCTGAAAACGAGGAAGGCGTTTGGGGCTCCAGAGATGGAGGAGGCACCCTCAAGGAGATTAAGTCTAGCAGAAGAGATAAAATATGTACACAGTCATTTTAAATGAGTGCTGAATCCTACAGGACACGGGGAAGGAGAATTGTCCAGTGTAATAAAAGCCAAGCAGGGACTTCCGCCAAGATGGAGGCATAGGTGGATGTGCCGTGCCTTCTCACACAACCAAGATTAGAGAAAACTAAATATTAGCAACAGAAAACACAGCCAGAACATGGAAAATTGAACTTTTCAGAAGTCCATTAACAACAAATTCTTCAGCCTGACCGGTAAGGGGCGAAACCAGCGGCTGGCGGAGCAGGGTTGCACAGGAGGACTTGGCCAGACACACTCAGGCCCGCGGAATCCAGGCGCAGGGTCAGACCTAGTGAGCGACCCAGAGAGCAACCAGGCGAGCGACCGCGGGGGAGATAGCCGGGCCCGGGGCTGCGTGTTGACTGAGGTCACGCATTTGTGCGAGGGTGGACAGGCGAGGGAGTGGGCGGTTGGACCGGCCGGCAGGTCCCCACGGCAAGCGGCAGTGGAGGGCGCCGCCATTTCCCTGCTCTGACCCCACCCACATACAGCGTCATAACCCAGCGACTCTGAGTGGCCCGGCCCAGGTGAACCACCTAAGGCACTGCTCCTCCGCACCCAGCTGTGAGCGGCAGAGGGGGTCGCCATTTCCCTGCTCTGGCCACGCCCCCACATACAACATCACAACCCAGCGACCTGGGAATCCAAGCCGCTGCTTCTCACACTTAAAGGGCCCGAGCAGACCAAGAATGGCGCAGGAGGATCTCAGAGCCCCAGAGCCAATAAATCTAAGCGATGAAGAAATAGCAAAACTCACAGACGCACAGTTTAAAACATTGGTGATCAGGATCCTCACAGAACTGGTTGATTATACGGACAAATTAGACAAATATATGAAGGCGAAACTAATTGAAATGAATGGAATTGCACAGGACACCAATAGCAATGAAAAGGAAACTGGGACTCAAATCAATGGAGTGGACCAGAAGAAAGCAAATAATGGCCAAACAGAAAAGAGTCAAGAAGCAAGAATTCAAAGAAATGAGGAGAGTCTTAGGAACCTCTAGGACATCTTTAAACGCTCCAACATCCGAATTATAGGGGTACCAGAAGGGGGAAAGGTACAGCCACCAGTGGAAAACTTATTTGCACAAATAATAAAGGAGAATTTCCCCAATCTGGCAAAGGAAATAGACTTCCAGGAAATCCAGGAAGCTCAGAGAGTACCAAAGAAGTTGGATCCAAGAAGGAACACACCAAGGCACATCATAATTACATTAGCCAAGATTAAAATGAAGGAGAGAATCCTAGAAGCAGCAAGAGCTAAGGGGACAGTCACCTACAAAGGAGTCCCCATCAGACTGTCAGCAGATTTCTCAGAAGAGACCTTACAGGCAAGAAGGGGCTGGAAAGAGGTATTCCAAGTCATGAAATCTAAAGACCTACAACCAAGATTGCTCTATCCAGCAAAACTTTCATTTAGAATGGAAGGACAGATAAGGTGCTTCTCAGATAAGATCAAATTCAAGGAGTTCATCATCACCAAGCCCTTATTATATGAAATGTTAAAGGGACTTATCTAAGAAAAAGAAGTTAAAGAAACATGAACAGTGAAAGGACAACAAACTCACAGTTATTAACAACCACACCTAAAACGAAAGCAAGCTAAAAGGACAGCTAGATCAGGAGTGGAAACATAGAAATGAAGATGTCAAGGAGGGTTAGCAACAGGGGAGTGGGAGGAGGAGAAGGGGGGAGAAGGTACAGAAAATAAGTAGCATAGACAGTAGATAGAAAATAGATGGGGGGGGGGCAAGAATAGCATGGGAAATATAGAATCTAAAGGACTTGAGACACATGGTCATAAACTAAAGAGGGGGTGATGGTGGGGATGGGGGGTAGGGTGGAGGGGAATGAAGGGGGGGAATAGAACAACTGTAACAGTATAATCAATAAAAAAAAAAAAAGAACATTAGGTATAAGGGAATAAAAAAAAAAAAAAAAGCCAAGCAGGATTTGCGAACTCTGCCTTGGAGAACAGGGACAGTTCCCATGAGAGAAGGCAGCAAGCAAAGGTGATGGTGAAGCAGAGAGCTGTCTCATATTTCTACAGGAATGTGTGGAGATAAAGAATGTGAGGAAGTGCCCTGGCTGGTGTGGCTCAGTGGACTGAGTGCTGGCCTGTGAACCGAAAGGGCACCGGTTTGATTCCCAGTCAGGGTACGGGCCTGGGTTACGGGTGGGGGCGTGTGTGGGAGGCAGCCAATCAGTGTTTCTCTGTCACATTGATATTTCTCTCCCTCTCTTTCTTCCTCCCTGCCCCTCTCTATAAAAATAAACAAAACTTTTTAAATAAAGGATGTGGAAAAGCACCTTGGGTTTAGACAGGCGGGGCCTTAACCAAGCTTTGGCTCAACCCAGTGAGTGCAGAGAACTTGGTGAAGACCCTCAACTGGGTGAGAGTCGTGATCAAATCAGAGTCCCCACGAGCTCAGCCTGGCAGCTCGCCTGCAGGATGGATCGAAGGGGAGAGAAATCAGGGGCAGGGAGCTTACGTTTTATATCAGGTGGGGGGTCACGAAGGCCTGAAGGAGGGCGGTCGCCATGGGGATGAAAAGGTGTGTACAGGACTACAGACCGAGTTAAACAGGGCCTGACTTTTCACTGCGCATGAGCAAATGAGAGAGACAAAGACATAAAAACAAATCTGGAGAACTAGAAACCACCAGAGAGAGATGTGTTTTTTTTAACAGGAAAAGATGATTTTAAGCTGTTTTGGCTGAGAAAACGACAGTGTTAATTAGCCCACGGACATGATGAGGAGGGAAACATTTGGAGGAATGACCTCCCTGCGGAGGACCCACAGGCCAGGGAGATGCCCAGAACGCAGCCGAAAATCCTTAGGAGAGAGACCAGGGTGGAGAGAGATCTGGAAGTTATCCACGCAGGGCTGACGGCAACCTGGGGGGACACAGCAAAGAAAAGCATCCCAAAGGTAGAACTAACCCAGTGACCTACATTGAGAGAAGAGAAGAAACAAACAGAATGCGGGGGAGTATGAAGACTGAGCGCTGATTGCATCCCGGCCGCATTCCTGAACTCAGAGATGCGCCTATACTGTTACCTGTGAAGTGCTCTCTCCCCTTTGCAGATGGGAGCATGGACTCTCGTGTTAGTCCACCAAACAACACAGATGTCCACTCAGAACCCAAGAGCCACTTTGTCCAAACCCACCTCTCCCACCTCTCCAATTCATGCCTTGTAAATTCGACCTTCATCTCTGGACTCTGTTCCCTTCTCCTAACATTTTCGTAGGCCCCCAATTCCTCCCGGCTTTGCCAACAACCTCCTACCCCCAGGCCTCCCCACTGGCGGTCTTGCCCATCACCAGTTCAGTGTCCTTCCCCAGTCCCCAGTCCCCACCAATGTGGTCCTCACGAAGCCTGCAGAAGCTTGCCAGCCCCTTGGTAAGATGCCCCACTGGCTTCCTAGGGTGTCTTCAGGCCCCTTCCTTGCAGGTGCCCCACACTCCTGCCCCACAGACACACCTGTGGGTAGCAGAATCCAGCCACCTTCCCATCTCTGCACGTGTTCCCTGTCTCCCAAAACTGTCTCCTACTGTTGCTCAGGCGCCATGTCCTCAAGTTGCGCTGATCTTCCCCGGGGCCCTTTTCCTGTGCCCCTCACTGCCTGGCCACCCTGCCAGCATGGCACTTACCGTACTGCAGTATTTAATCTATGTGACAGTCTCTCTCACTGCGTTATCAGTAGTTTGGGGGAGGGGGGTTCTTTGATATACTGGTGTCAACATTTCCTGGTAGAATTCATAAAACAAACGATTCACATTCAAGTTTGATTCTAAGTTCACATTCCTTCCACTACACTCGAAAGTCAGGGAGCAGAAAGCAAAGCAGGATGGTGTAGGATGAGGAAAAGGCGAGAGGCCGACTATGAGAAACCACAGCTAACACCGCACTCAGCGATGAAGGCTGGTGCCTCCTTCCCCAGAGCAGGAGCAGGGCAAGAGCGGCCGCTCCCGCCACCTCTATTCAACACTGTCCTGGAGGTTCTAACCAGGGAAGTTAGACGGGAAGAAGAAATCACAGCATCCAGGTTGGAGAGGAGGAGTTAAACTGTCTCTAGTCCCAGATGATGTGATCTCACATATAAAAAATCCTTAGGAACCCATAAAGGAGTTATTAAAACAAAAAACAAGTTCAGTTAGGTTGCTGGATATAAAATCAATACGCAAGAATCAATTGTATTTCTGTAGACTAACAATGAACAAGATGAAATGAAATGAAGCAGCCCCGGCTG